GCCACAAAATCAGGCAGGTGAATTCTTTGCCTTCCCTCACATGTCTGGTCTCGGTCCATCCCTTCACAGTGCTGGGCTGGGGAGGTGGGATGAGATCTGTGTCACCGTCCCCTCTGGCTGGGTAGCTCTGCTGCTTGTTCCTGCCTGGCAGGGGAAAAACTGGTCCCTGTGCGTGTTTTCTAGGGGGAAGTTAAGAGACACCATTCTGGACTGGGAAGATTCCCTCCCTGACCGTGACCTCACATTGGCGGGTGAAGCCTGCAGGTACCGTGCTTGGGGCTCCCAGGCCTCTGCCCGTGCCCTTGGGCTGCCCCTCCCTGGCTTTTTTCCTCAACTTTTGTGCCTCGAAGCCCTGAGGCTGTTCCCACAATGCCCAGCCCGCTCCCCAAAATTGGCCGAGAGAAACTGCTGCAAATTCTCGCCACAGATTACTTCCCTGCTTGAAAGTTTGTAGAGTCCATGCTGGGTGGGAGAAGCAGCCTGCAAACAGCCACGGCTTTTTATTTGCTCTGGATGTTTTGTCTCTTCCCTGCAGGAAAGCTGATCTCTCCATCACTCTGGGGACCTCTCTGCAGATCAAACCTAGTGGCAACCTCCCACTGATCACGAAGAAGAGGGGAGGGAAGCTGGTCATAGTCAACCTACAAGCAACCAAACACGTGAGTGAAAGCGTCTGTGCTGCTCCTTCCCTCTCGTGGTGGCGCTTGTTTCAGCCCCATCACAGGTTGGTCCCTGCACATGGTCGCCTCCCAGGCGATGACACAAGAGGGGCCTCACTTAGCAGGCAAACAGGCTGGACCTCCCGTGTTGGAGGGTTTAAACCAGCAACTCCCAATAAACACCCAGAAACGGAAGGTAAACCTTGAGAGGAGAACAAAAACTCAACTCAGAGCCTGGTGTATCCTCCAGTGAACTACAGTCCGATGGAATAACTGCCCACACAGAACCTCTGCCACAGGGCAGACGAGTTCAGTTTCTCTTCAGCCCTGGTTTTGGTGCCCTGATTGTCCAAAGTCTTTCAAATAACTGGAGCTGGGGGGTTTCTGTTAGAGCTCCTTGTCCCTGTCCCACTCTGTCTGGGCTCGCTAGCCTGGCTCTGCATCCTTGTCCCCGTCTCGGGGCCATGTTTCGAGGCGCCTGACGGAGTCACAGAATCACAGAATGTCAGGGGTTGGAAGAGACCTCAAAAGATCATCCAGTCCAGGCCCCTGCCAGAGCAGGGTCACCTACAGCAGGTTGCACAGGTACAGTCCTGCCAGCCTGCGGCGCAGCAGGGAGCGGTACCAGACAGGGTCAGTTCACGTCCCCTCTGGGGATCGTGTCTCAGGAGCAGGAGCTGGAGCCCTTGAGCCCGCGGGCAGCTGATGCGTCACCCAGGCCTTGTCCCCACACGCTCCCTGGGAGGGGATGTTTGTCCCTGCACACTGTATTTGTCCCCTAATGTCCTCGCTTGCCCTCGCTCGCCCCAGGACAGACAGGCCGACCTGCGCATCCACGCCTACGTCGACGACGTCATGACGAAGCTGATGAAGCACTTGGGGCTGGAGGTCCCGGAGTGGACGGGGCCGGTTGTGGTGGAGAGCGCTGAGCTCACCAAGCCCGAACAGCTCTTCAAATTCGATCCTGGGGCTCGTGGGCTGCTGAAGGAGGAGCCCCTCTCCCAGCACAATGGCACGGGTGGGCTGTGCCCTGACCTCGGGACCACACTGGTGGAACACCGCGATGGTCTGAAGCGGGAGCGTCCCAGCCCAGATACGGGGCCAACGACGGTGAAAAAGATGAAGGTGGAGCCTCTCCTCACCTGACCCAGACTTTTTTTTTTATACACTTGTCTGTGCCGCTTTTCCTACCGACTTTTTTTTATAACCTTAAACATTGTCCCTTTTTTTATGTAAGTATTAAATTCACTTGAATTGCGGGTGTCGGGGCAGCTGCACCCACCGGTCGGGAAGGGCGCTGCCTGCTTGAAGCGGACCGAGCGCCTCATTCCTCCTCTGCGAGGGGACACTTGTGGGGCTCAGCAGACCTGAGAGGGGCAGAGGGATGAGGGTGCTCAGCGCTGGGGCTGGGACACATGGGGGGCATCAGGGCAGCCGGTGCCAATTTCGATGAAGCTGGGGCTGGGCA